GGCACCGCCCTGCGGACCGGCCGCGCGGGGTTCCCCGGTACCCGGGTTCGCGTCTCCGGCGGGGAGACTGGTAGCTCGGGGGGGCAAGGGGAGTGACGAGGTTAACCCCTACCAGCTCCCCTTCCACTTTTTAGGCCTGCTGCTAGTCACCTTCCAGGGGGGCTACAGGCAGACACTGCACCTGAGCTGAAAGCTCCACGTATGGCCTTACTTGATGTAGGCAACACACTGACCCTGGCCCCGCTGTCCTGTGCAAACAGCTGTGGGACCAACCAGCTCTTGAGCATTTTTTGATTTTCTCTTAATAATAGAACAGTAGAATAGTTTGTGCAGAACACAAACGTGCCAGACAGGCACACTTCTGCCAGCACACCCCTGGTCTCTAGGCTGGCTTAAGGAGTAGCCCCTTTCCTCGTGCAGCGCGGCCGCCTCACGTTTATTCCAGCCAGCGCTAACCGAGGAGGGTTTTCCCTGGCATGTCCCCAGTATTTCAGAGGCAGCAGACAGGTCAAGGCTGCAGGCGAGTGGAGAGAACACAGATAACTTGATCCAGCAGCAAAGGGAAACACAGTTGGAGAAGTGAAGAGACATCTGAAAGCTGAGCAGTTTCAAACGCATCCGTGCGACCTTCGAACCGAACACCAACCCCAACCCCAGCTGCCTGTCCTGAGAGCTGGCTTAAGAGAAGGCCGAGCAGGACTTTAAGGCTCTTTGCAGTGATTTTCCTCAGTTTCCACCTGCAAGGGCGTCCCCAAACAGCTCTGCCTGTAGGGCCTCTGCAATGCCACAGATAGACGTACAGACACACGTCTGGTGCTGCTGGGCCCTCGCACTACCACGAGTAGCCGGCTTGTTGGAGTGCAACTGCAGGCTCGGTAGAAGCTGAAGGCCTGAAAGACCTTCTCCTGAAAGTCCAGAGAGCGGGAGACTAACCGCACCCTCCTGTGGCAGTGACAGACTGAAATCAAAGAGCTTTTAGAGGCATTTGGTTCGACCGAAATGCAGGCCATCTCTGTGGAGTTCAAAAGGAGTGTCTTACTCTGCTTTAATCTGCTCCTAATCAACTTAAAACAAATTTATCTTAAGCCAGATTTACATCTGCTAAGAAGGATCCACGTAGCCCTTTTGCCCGTGATTTTTTTTGCCATATTGATTTTACAGAGTGTCCACTGCTCGTGAGGAGGTGGAGCAGTTTCCAGCAACCATGTGAAGACCGAACCCCAAGGCAATTCCTACAGCCATTCATTAACTCTCCTCCAAGGAGCAGAAAGCCTGAAGAGACACCTCAGCTCACTGCAGGGAGGGAAAGGTGGCGGATTACAAACCCAAACCCTGCTCACAGGCTGCGCCCCTCGACACTGCCTCATGAACAGTGACATTAATACAGGACCCTGGGAGATGCCAGCGATGCCGGTCGCATCGAGTCACTCGGAACAAGAGCTGCCTCAGGACTTGAGCACAGCATCAGCATGTAAAACAGCATCCAGAGATTATCTGCTGTCCCAGTTTCTCATAATTAAGCAAGATTAACTGATAGAGAGTCCAGCAGCCACCAGTATTAGTAGCTCAGATTTGTTTCCAATAAGACCACAGATCAAGTGGCTGAGAGAGGTTTGGGCAACAGCAATTGCCTTTAACAGCACCCTCGAAGCACAAATTCTAATAATTTATGTGCTTCCAATCCATTTGTTACACACACTGCACGACTGTTCGCCTGGCATTTAAACCTGCAGTTAGAGATGAGCTCTCAAAGGACTCGATGCTTACAGCTGTTTTACACAGGCGTCCTGAGCACACCCCCCGTTCTGTACTGGGCTCTGACTCAACTCAAACTGGGGCCGAGCGTGAGGGAAGGAGGAAGAAAGGGATGAGGGCAGGAAGGACAGACTACAAATCTGCTAGAATATGGATTATGGGGTCTGAAGGGAGAAGCAGGTGTGAATTTAAACTTTTGCCAGGATGGCAGAAATAACTACTGCAATTCTTGGTATTCACAGCAATAGATGTTGTTTCCTAAGCATTCCTACACCTCTGAAACTGCAGGACACTCCCTCTGGAAGGAGAGAAGCGCAAGGAGAGAAGAGAAAAAAGCGTTCTTTGCTCTGCACACACAGCAGTTCGCATCCTCACCTCACCAGCCTTCAGCATATATTCAGTTCAACACCTCCAATGCCAAAGAGATTTAAAATAAACTTCAGCCAAATAACAAATATTAACAGACCTAACTTCACTGATTCAGAGTAGCCATCGCCACGCTGACTTCCACAACAGCAGACGTTACCTTTCTTCCCACCCAAATTTGTATTAATGTCTCAATTTTTAAATATAAAGCTAAATAGTCAGCGTCTGGTAATTAAGCAGAGATAAAAACACTTCTAGGAACAACTTTGAGCCAACAGGTTTGGCACAGAATCACACCTCTTAACACCCAGACCTGGGAGAAGTAGGCAATAATTAACGAAGAACCTGCCAGCTTGCAACAATCTTCCCTGACCAAGCCTGCAACCTCCTGGCTGCTCCCCCCGGGGCGGCCTGTGCTCTTATACGTGGTGTGTTCTTACATGTGGCCTTCTTTGCCAAGGCTTTTTATGGCACAGGTGGGAGAAAAAGGGGAAAACCTGCTCGTTTCACCCAAGACAGTACAAAATCACACACTCGTCTTCCACAGTAACAGCATTATAGGAGTAGGCCTCTCTTCCCCCAATTTCAACTACCTGCATCTTCAGACCCCTACTAAAGTGGAAGCATTCTTTACTGTCAGAGCTACACAGAGACCCGATATTGACTGTGACAACTGGAACAGACAATAGTTTCATGTAACAGTATAAAGTTATCCAAGGGTCTGAATCATTTAAACACATTAAATATTTCGTAACCAAGGTACCAACTGCAATGTTAATCTGCAGAACGCAGCTCAAACATGTCTGCATTCAGCAGTTTCCACCAAAGGAGAGTTGACAAGTCCCAAACCTTTCAGAAGTCGTCGTCCATCATAGCTGAAGGAGTTGAGTTCAAGGTCAGTCTAAATCTGTGACTCAAAACTATCTTCAGAAAAAGACAGTTTGAATTCAACAAGATTTACAACTGGGGAAGAGAAAATAGACTTAGATTTGCCTATCAGTAAGCTTTCATTTAGGAAAGAATTACACAAGATCCAAAACATTAACCTTGATAAAGTGCCTGTTGGATGAACCTACAGAAACTTCTCCCCCGCGCCCCAATCCAGCAGATACTCCTTAGCATCCAAAGCAGAATTACTTGCACTTCGTGAGAGGTATTGAAGTCTGGCATAACACAGTGTCAAGCTCCTACAACACTGCCAATTGATCATTTCACCCTAAACAAGACTTCCCAGGCTGCAAAGTGTTTCAGGCGGCTGGCATAGCGTGAAGCAGTCTGTAACCCGTGATCAAGTTCTTGGAGTAAGCACTGACAATGCATGAATGAAGAACAGCAACAAGACTTAACAAACACCATTAGTATTATCCAACTGCTTTGTTATAAATATATTATATACATTCATACATCACATTAAAATATTATTCCATTACACCAGAAGAGATTAAGGCTTTATATTATTTACAGAAACAAGCAAGCACCTTAAAAAAAAAAGAACAAAACACCAGTCATCGACATTTCCCTTCTAACATTACAAGTTTGATACCTCGAGCTCTTGAATACAGCTATTTGCAATGTGCCCAATGCTAGAACTATTTTAAACATTTATTGTCAGGGTAGGAAACACTTAACAGAAGACTCATCAGTGGGCACTCCACGTGAACAAACGCGAGGGTGTTGTACTGGGTGCTCTCCCCCTCCTCAGAGGCTTGCGAAGTTGAAGGCTTCCGCAGGAACGGTTTGCTCAATTCCACGCAGAGACTGTAACAATTTTATTTTAAGGGAAACTGAAGACACTTGAGGATTTGTGGCCCACCAGTGGAGTGGGATTCTTGAAGTCTGTTCCACATTACATCAATCAGATTTAAAAAGATAGCGAAGATAGAGCTGTACGTTTATCAATCACTAAGTGCGTTGAAAAGTGATGACTTCGCAGGCTTCCATTACTCTGACACTGTTTCCATGCAGTGTATTCAGACTCAAACACAAAGTGACAAACTGCTGTCACCATTCTCCCTGTAGGTCTTAGGCAACAAGCTATTTTTGAAGTATTTAAATAATGTTGATACAACACATGTTTACTACGCCACCACGTACCAATGGAGTGACTGTCCTGCCTTCTGGTTTGCCCGATAGCCTTATGAGACACAGTGATGAAGCACTTCCTAAGATGTAAGCAGACATGGCTAAACGAAAAGGTGCTCAGTAAGAGTAATCATCTTCATTTCAAGTATTGTTTTAAGAATTAGTTCTTTTCATTACAGTCTGTGTTAGCACTTTTTAGTTTGTGCTTTAGAGTCTGTTATTTCTTTGCAGGTCTTGAATTTGGCTGATGGCTTTTTTTAAAAAAAAGAAACAAAAAACAAACATTGGCAACAAGTTAAGGATTGCAGAAGGCTGGCAAAAGTTATTTAATTTTCTGAGCCCATTTCATGTCATCTGCTCTTGGCTTCTCCCCAGTAACTGCTTGGATAATGTTCTCCAAACACCTCCAGAATCTTATCTTCTCTAACGGATAGTTCAGCCAACCTGAGTGATTTCAAAGGAAAAAAAAGGGTTAGTTTCTTGCAGCATCCAAAGTTCAATGTCTTGCAATGCTTATTTAATAACATTCTTGAAGTTAAACACAAGGTACACAATGCAAGGGAAGTTTAGAGGTCGGCTACTCTATGGCCACTGCAAAGCTATCAGAAAAGGGACCGTCAAGTTGAATGATTTGCGTTAGAAGCGAGACATTTGAAATGGAAACATAAGCAACCAAACAAAAACCTCAACCCAAGAGTTTTAGCTATTTTCTCCTGCCCCACATTAGTTTCTCCATCAACAAAGCCAGCTTGGCTTTTTCTGGTGTTTCTCATTAGGTAGTGCATACATACAACATGGCTCTGAAATCGAATACGCTGTCAGTGCCATTGTTTCTAGAGAAAAAGAATAAATATTAATAATTAAAAATAAAAATTAATATTTCCATTTGGGACCTAAACACCACTAAGGGTCAGCAAACTAGAAGTTTTTTCTTAAATAAAGCCTCAGTTTAGATAGAATCACAGAATGGTTTGGGTTGGAAGGGACCTTAAAGACCATCCAGTTCCAACCCCCCTGCCATGGGCAGGGACACCTTCCACTAGACCAGGTTGCTCCAAGCCTCATCCAGCCTGGCCTTGGACACTTCCAGGGATGGGGCATCCACAGCTTCTCTGGGCAACCTGTTCCAGTGCTTCACCACCCTCTCCGGGAAGAACTTCTTCCTGATATCTAATCTAAACCTCCCCACTTTCAATTTAAACCCGTTACCCCTTGTCCTGTTGCTACGGGCCCTTGTAAAAAGTCCCCTCCCAGCCTCCTTGTAGACTCAAGGAAGTTCCAACTTGATAGTTCCAACATCAGTTTTGTTTTACGGTAATTGTATTGGGCTCTCCCTGCGCAAAATTAAAGTTTGCATAATCAATAGGTGTGAAGCCTGTGATGGGGAAACCTTGCTGTAGTACCATGCTGCATTTAACAGTAGCTGGTGTTGGACACTGCTGGATTGAAAGGGCAGCACACTCCCCAAGCTGTGCAGCGCCACAAACAGAGCGGAAAAGCTGTAACAAGTTGATAGGGAACAGGCTTTTACCATTTTATGTAAAGAAAGGCACGAAGCACTGTCACACTCTGCATGCAACAGGAGGTTAATGAGTCTCTCCTAGATTTAGGGCGTTTTGAACGCTTTGTGGAAGTGTTGCACTGTAAAGACTGCAAGGCTGGAACCCACAGGGGCTTATGAAGACCTCACCCTGAATTCAGAAGTGCTTTATGTCTCACATTTAGGATATTAATTAGTACATTAACTTGATTTTCTGGTGCTGTATTTTGATGCCAAACTAACCAAATGTATTGGGTTTGTGTGGCAAGGCTTTGGAAGCGGGGGGGGGCTTCAG